GGAACAGGCACCAGGAAACAGGAGATGAACAAGGACAGATTCCAAGGCTAACGGAGGAAAACAAGGGAAAGGAAAACAGAACAAATGTGCAAAGCAGAATCACTGCAGAAAGACAGCTCCTGCTCAGGAAACGGGGGAGACTGGCCCTGTTTCAGGGAAAATGGCCTCCATGTTGGAGGAAAGGAACTGAACAAAGAATATCTAGGGGAAGTAAGAGGAAATTATCTAAAGGAGTAAAATTTAAACTAGAATGTCAGATAAACAAAAGTATAGAATGATGAAAGTACATGGGAGAAGGAAAAGGAAGTCATAAACGTTCAAACAATCCTCAAAAATAGCATAAGATATGCCAAAACTAGTGAAATGGAAATAAGTAATTTTTACGAGGTGCAGCATAAAGTTACAGATATGAGAATGATGATTAAACGTCAGTCTGTCAGTTTTGCCATACTATGACCTTGAACAAGTCAGTTAATCTCCTTGGGACTTATTTACTGTTTCAAAAAAAGTGTGTGTGTACACGAGAAGAAAGTAAAAAATGGGTGATCATTCTTTTCTCCTTTAGCTTATAAGAGGGAGAAAGACAGGAAAAGCATAGAACTCTTAAAGAAAGAATAAGGAAAAGAGAAAAAATGTTAAGTGGGAAGAGTAACAGTTAACGACAGTTTTGCATAGTGCTTTACAACTTAAAAAAGTGCTCTTACACGTATGTGTTCACAGCAAGCTGAGAGGCAGAAGACAGATATCATTTAACACCATTTTACAAATGGAATAACTGAGGCTCAGGAAGGCTAAGCAACTGGCTCAAGGACACAGAAACAGTGGCAGATCTAGGATCCAACCCAGATCTAACAGCAGCACAAAATCAACTATCCTACATTTAGATGACCTCCTGTGACTAAGGTTTCGAAGGTATTTTTGTGGCTTATTAGGTAACAGATAAGGGAATAGTTATAAACATGCAAAAAAAAAAAAAACCCCACACACACACACCCTTTTATTTTAAATTTCTTTAAAATGAAAGGATTTACCTTATATGTGAACTAATTCACTATACAAAATGTTTTCCTTTAAAAGCTGAACTCGGTTTAGTCGCAGCCTATTAGGACTCTTTTCAGTCCACATGGAGCTCTTAAATTCTAAAGCACCCTGTAAAAACCACTGAAGCACCAATACCCTCAGCCTGTCTGCACACAGACTTTGCTCTTGACTTCTGGCAGTTATTAAAACACTAAGCGAGTGCTTCAATCTGCACACCCCGGATGCTGGGAGTGCAGAGAAAGCGGCAGAAGTAGACTCAGAGGGAAGTTATGCTTGGTTTTCTTCATAACATCTAAGAGGACTGTCACCACCACCTCCACAGCAATGATAATAAAGTAACAGAATGCTGCTCATCCTATTCTTTGCTCCAAAACCCTTACTCAGCCAGAGATGACAACTACAGTACTAAGCGAAAAATGTTAGGAATATAATCTGGGGTATATTGGTCTCAAGCTAATTTATCACTCCTTTTCTTTATGTACATCTTAACTGAGCAGAGAAAGTTTTGAATAAAATTCTAAAAATACGTGTATGACTTTAGTATTTTTATTTTAACAGGCAATTTTCCCCCCTTCACAGTGGCTAAGAATCTCCAACTGAGTAACAGTTTGTTATTTTCCCACGGTCCTTAGTCCTCTGCCTTCCTATTCTTCCTCCACCCACAAGTAAAGGCACCTATGGTTTCTTACAGAACACTACTCTTCACAAATTAGCAGACCATGGTTCCTCCCTACTGGACATCACTGAAAGTTTTCTTGACAGAAGAAAGGGTGTGTGAAAGAACCAAGGAGTAAAGGGCAGTTTAAGAGCAAAAGGGGGCGATCCCCCCAAAAAAGAGCCAGAGAAAGTGCAAACAAGCTCAGTTATATGGGTGGCTATAACCGTGTTCCCATTTTTCCCCTATTACTTCATTCTTCCCTTATAGTTCCTCTTTTGAAGTAGTCGGACTCTCTGTGGCCAGATAAGCATGCCTGAAGTAGAAACTTGGGGGAAATCAAAGCCTGCACCGAATGAGCCACAGGCAATCATGTATCATCTGATTATCAAGCGCTGACACACACACCAAGACCGAACAGAATAACCTGACCGAAAAAGAACATCGGAATCTTGGTCAGACACCTGAATTTAAGTCCTGGTATGCTACATGATTTCCTTGTAACAAGTGAACTCACTTTCCTGAGCCTCACTTTTCTAATCTATAAACAGGGGTACCACAGCAACACTCTACCTATTTTACAGAGCTGCTGTGAAAATCTAAGTGGGAGAAATACTACACATTGAGGCCAATAGCTTTTTAAGTAACTGTTGCAAAGGATAAAATTCTTAAATGAAGACCGTCTCTGCAAGCGTACAGAGTACCCATACTCTGCCTCTCTCAAGGGTTACTATGTTGAAATGAACGTAATTCAAGTGGACAACTATGAAGTGGTTTTTCAGCCACTATCTGAAATAAACATTGCATAGTCCCGCATCAAAAGTCTACGTAGCCCAACAGTAACAATTACTCACCCACCGAATTTTAGTTTCAGTAGTATGTATGCTAAGTAATCTACGTGTTCTCACCTGAGAACCCACCTAACGTATGTGTAGTATAGTGATAAAAAAGAAAAAAGGCACAGGGCTTGATATGTGAAGGAACTACGTATGAATGCCCCACATTATCCTAAGTGTAGGCCTTGGACAAGTCTGGGCTGAAATACCCTCAAATGTAAATTAGGAATGATGCTACCTACTTCACAGGATTATCACGATCACGTCTGCATCGAAACTAATCTGGTGCCAGCACACTGTGATTGCTCCATATTCAGGGGTGAGCAAAAGTAGGTTTACAGTTGTGAGTACGTGAAACACAGAGTTTACTCTTGTGTTCTTCATTGGTTAGTGTATGATTTGTATTACAACTGTAAACCTACTTTTGCCCACCCCTGCATGTGGGCTGGTAATTTGATAGCCTTCCCATCTCCCCAAAGCAAGCATCTCTGGGTTTTTTAGGAATAGTTAAATTACATCATTGAACATGTATGATTAACAAAACGTCTCTCAGCTAAGAAGTACAATGAAAAGGATTCCCTAAGATCATTTACAGATCCTAAGATTACGTCCTTCAAATTACTGTTAAGTATAAGATTGAATTCAAGAGTTTAAAATCCACCCTTCTTTCATCTAGTCCCTTATCGCATAACCGTCTGTGTCGTCAAGTAATTGAAAACCTAAACTACCGTTCCCTTCAGCCACTGAGGCAGCTTAGGAAGGAGATGGCTGTTCTCTAACAGCCGCCTCAAGAGAAGCAATGGCTGTAAAAGACAGGCTGACTGCTGTGCCTTCCCTGAAAAGGACAGGTGTAAACGGGGAAGTAGGAGAGAAGAGGACTGAGCTTACCGTGGAAAGCTAAGTTAATGACAGAAAGCAGATCAAGGAGGATTTAGGACATCTTCTTCAAGATTTCACCTTCAGCTTCTGCCCCAACAACACACTTTGGTCCGTCTTCACAGAATAGTCATATCAATATTCCCTCCAGCCAGTTCCTTCCCTACTCTAAGGTTCATGATTACACTCACACTGCAGACAAAGTGATTTTAAGACATATAAATGAAGTCCTCATTAAAGACCAAGACTGAGATGGAATCAAGCCCCCCTTTTTCTTCCAGCTTAGTATTAAGCCACTGTTCATTTTCTTGAGACTGCACGATGTTAAGGCATGTGCCTTCATCCAGCAATAAAGCAACTGTGTGTAAATCAGACTATGCACTGTATTTTGCCCCCACAAAATTTTCATGTTTAGAACTTTCTTACTGCCAATGCGCAGCCTCTCGGACCACCTGAGAGTCATCCATAACAATTACCAAAATAGATGGTCTGACACGCACACAAAGAACAGCTGGAAAGACCTAGTGGGTACCTGCAAACACCTAAGGGTGTGATAATCTCCTAAGATAAGCTCTCAAAACTCACAATATCAAATAGAGAGTGATGAAGGAAGAGGGTGGAGCGGGCTGGCCTGGAGTGAACCTGGATACAAAGAGAGTATTAAGATCTGGGAAAGAAAATGCAAAAGAACTGCAAGAGAGTATTAAGGAGGAACGAGCCTACTGTTCATCATACTGAGGAGGCAGGAGGCATCAGTAGGTAGACACCGAAGAATCTGTTGGAGATAAACTATAAAGAGAAAACAAATTTCACCAAAGGAGCCTTCACTCCTGCTCCAATTCCCTGCGCCACCCCCCCCCCAAGGAAGCTCCAAAAAAGCTCTTTTTCAACAGAGGGATTAACAAAGCAAATAAAGGAAACCTATGCTAAAAATGTAACCTACCTACGCTGAGAGGTCTGGAAACGGAAACCCTTCTTTCCCGGTTGTGTAGTGGGTTTCAAAACAGCAGAGACCGAGCGAGGGGGAGGGGAGCAGCCAAGCTCTTCCAGAAATGAGGACTCTCTGGGCCACATGCTGACTTTAAATTCACCTTTTTGTGGTCAGCGGGGCCATTCTTAGCTGAACTGAGCATTCCACTCTGCAGGTCAGAATCTGACGAGTGGTTCAAAGACCAGAGAGCGGAGTAGCGAATGCAAGCACAAGGCAGACGCAGAACCAGCTCTTGCTGGGGCAGTACTTTAATGTCCCCCACTGGGCGGCTGAAACTCCAACCACGCTTGAAGTAACAGCGCAATGACTGAGTGAGAGAGGATAAGAGGTGGGGGGAGGGAGAGAAAGAGAGAAAGTAAATTAAAGGAAGGGCCCTAAGTTCAGCCAGAGAACTATGCAAGTAGACAGAGAAGTTTGCAGATAGACAGTAGGTTGGAAAGAGTGGACACAGAGAACGGGGCTAAGTGGATAAACACCTCCCGACGGATTCCATCCGTTCTCCTAACAGGGTGCTGCACAAAAAGATCCCTTTTCTACAGAGACACTTCGCTCCCTGCCCTAGGCGGCTCCTGTCGCGGGCAGGGGCTGAGCACGCACTTACTTTCGTCCGGCCATTGATTTTGTAGTTGCCCAGCTTCCCGTTACAGTGGCGGATCAGGTCGTCCATGCTGCTCATGAGCAGCCCAATGGTTTCGCAGCCGGGCTCCTTGCCCTCGATCCAGGTGATCTGATCGCCTCGGATGTCCTTGGACGAGTCGCTCTTCTGGCTGACCAGCTGGCCGTCCGTGAACTTGCCGGTGTCGTGCAGGGCGCGCACCTCCTCACCGATCTGCTGCCCGGTCTCCTTGCCCAGGAAGTCGTCCACCACGCAGATGCCGTGCTTGTTCATGCACGGCACGATGTACTCCAGCGCCAGCTTCAGCGCCGGCAGCGGCTTCGTCTGCCCGTTGGGCCGCAGGCCACCGCTGTGGCTCAGCCCCTCGCCCGGCGTGTTGCTCGGAGGGTACAGGTTCGCCTTCTCCTGGAACAGCGACGAGCGGCCCAGCGCCTCCTCCTTCGCGGGCTCCGCCTCGGCTGCCGCCGCCGCCGCCGCCGCCGCCGGGCCCCGGCCGCCGGGAGCCGCGCGAGGCGGGGACGCGGCCGCCGCGGGCTTGGCCTTTGGCTTGGCTGCGTCCCCGGCGGCGGCGCTGTCCCGGCGCGGCGTCGCCTTCCGGGCCTCCTTGGCCCCGACGGCCCTGGGCGGCTGCACCGTGGAGGCCGGCGAGGGGCCGGCGTGCGGGTGCGGTCCCGCCCCGTGGCCGGGGGCGCCGTCGCCGCTCTGGCACACGAGCTTGTGCTTCTTCCAGTCCTGGCGCTGGTGCTCCTTGCTGCAGTAGAAGGAGCTGCGGCAGCGGCCGCAGCGCAGCAGGTTCTCCATCTTCCCGCACAGCTCGCAGTACTGCCGGTCTCGCTCGCTCTGGCTCATCCCGCCGGGCCCACCGCTGTCATTGGCCATGGCGGCGGCCGAGCAGGAGGGGTGGCGGCCGGACGGCCTCGCCCGGGACAGGGGAGCGGGCGGAGTGGCAGGGCCCGTCACTGCGCCATGCACTCGCCGCCCCTCGCTAGAAGGAGGCCGGCTCCCCACCGTGGGCCCGGACGCTTCCTCGTCTTCGGGTCCGGCACCGCAGCGCCGGCTGCCGCCTCAGCGCCTCATCGCCCCCGGGAGCCGAGGGAGCGCGGCCTGCGCGACGGACGGCAACCTCCGCTCCGGCGCGCGAGCCCGAGCGCGCGAGACCTGCCTCCTTGGCCGCCTCCGCGTCCCGGGCACCCAGCCGGCCTGTGGTGGAGCGCAGGGCGTGCGGGCGCCACTCGCTCGGCGCGCTCGGCACGTACACCACGGCCCCGCCGCGACCCGGGCGGGGGGCGCGCGAGGGCGGGGGCGGGCCGGGCCGGGCCGGGGGGCGGGGCCGCGCACACGCGCTCGGCCGGTGGCGTCTGGAGCCTGCGCGCGGACGCCGAGGGGCGGGCCTGCGAGCCGTGGGAGGGCGGGGCCGCTCCGCGCGGCGGCCGGGCTAGCCGGACGCTCTCTCCACCTGCCGGGCGAGCGCAGACGCGAAGTTGCGGCGGTAAGATGGCTGCTGTTTGTGTAACCGAACGATAGGTTGGAGGCGCGCTCTGCACTCGGTTGCAAAGTGGCTCATGCAGCCCTCGTTTTGCCCAGGAGGAAACGGAAATTCAGAGAAGTCAAGTCACTTGGCCAGTCTCACGCAGGACTGGGGCTGACTCCAGGCGTTAGAACTATCAGATTCCGAAGCTGCTTTTTCCATTACACCCATACAGCCTCTGTTTCAGCAAGGTCTAAAATGGTGAAAACCAAAAATTAGTATTGCTGCGGTGTTAATTCAAGCTTTTGTGCCCCGTTTGGTAATTTAAAGGTATTGAGATTTGATATATTTTTACCATTTTAAACCCCTGTGAAATCTTCCCGAGTTTGAAACCTCGCGAAGAAATATTTGGCTGCTGAGTAAAAGTAATCAATGCTCATCGCAATATCCGCATTCAGGCACTTAAATTCGGTGTGATGGAACCACTCCTGAGATTTGGATTTGATAAACAAACATCACTACATTGATTACTTACTAGTTTTTTTAAAAAAATCACTTAATAGAATCTGTGCTATTCTGATTAATGCAATTCTTTGTTTTACAGAATAAGCCAAGGTTGTTTCTTTCCACATGTCATTTATTTTAAGAATAAAAAGAGCTGTGATTTTGGATTTTCGCAAGCTGTATTAAACACCAGCTAATGTGGACAGTGCTGTGCTAGGCTTGTGTATCACCTGAATAGACTGCAAATAACTTCGGCAGCCCTGAATGCTATAATGAGGTTAAGAACCTTGCACGCTTACAAGAGCTGAAATGTGTAGGGCAAAGGCCGAAGAATATGAAGAATTATTATAACCACTTTGTAGCATTAAAGAAAAAACTAGCTTGAATCTGAAAGCATAAAACTTTTCCTGAACTATACAGAACTGCAAACTATCATTAAATTCTGCTGTATAAATAAACAGTATCTTAGGGCTCCTACCCGATGAAAGAGGACAGTAGTTCCAATTAGCTTGGCCTCTGGGAGATTGAGGTAATAAAGATACAGCTTCAAATTCCAGACCAAAATAAAATCCAACTTTCTGCAAAGAATCAAGACCTGGATCTATCTCAGCTGTGTATACAACTCTCCTGGAGCTTTATTTAATACGTGCCAAACTGTCCTTGGCACACAAGTGAAGTGGTTATACTACAATACATGCACACAGATTACCAGTCCAGCACAGGGCGGATGGGTAAACAAACAATGACAACCTAGGGTTGGGAGTCGTACCCTAAGAGAGAGGATAACAAAGAAAAGGGAACTGCTAGTTCTGCCCTTTGCACTAATCAAGATTCCCAGGAAATCTAGAAATTCTTAAAAGTTGCCTAGGAAAGAAAACTTTTAAAACATTTCTGATACACATAAATTATGTAAGGTATAATTCCCAAACAAATAAAATCTAATACTTAGGCCTCCTTTTGCTACACAAGTGCCACACAAACACTTGATTTTTCTGTTTAGTTATTTGTAGATAATAAAAGTAGGCCAAGAATTTCTATAGGTATTTCCTACTACCTTAGGTATTTATTGCTACATAGGTATTTACATCTCTTGCTCTTTTCATGTATCTCCATTGATAGCTACTTCAAAGAATAAATGTTCATGTCAAAACCTTTGTTAGCTTTTGTTCCAATTAAGTATACAAAATCACAGACTGAACATGTGTATCTTGAAAATAATCAAATATAACAAAGTTTTGATGGATAGGACAGTCAAATATAAAGTATTTCAAATATTGACAAAGACTCCTGATTTCAGAATTTTAACTTACTCAGGCTTGATAATCTGTGACCTAATTTGAAACGAGTGAAGTTTCACCAAACCATCTGCTGGCAATGCAACAGCCAATGACAAACTCAACAACAAGATTCTGAACTCCATCAGCATTATAGCACTTGTCGTTTCTGCCCTGCAAGTGTTGTAGAGGATTCACACTTACACGGTGCTCATTGTTGTGTTCTAATCTCGGTTACAAGCATTTTGCAAATATTAACTCATGTAATCCTCATAACAACACTTTGAGCTGATGGTATTGCTAAGCCCATTTACAGAAAATGAAACGAGCAAGACAATCAGTGTCTTTCCCTCTTAAGTTATAGGATCAGTAGCTTGTTACCTAATACTCTGGGGGAGGACAAAGGCATGCCTCTCCCACAGCCAGAATTATTACAGAATTTTTCCTGCCCCTGCCAACCTAATCAATCTTAGAAGATGAAGGATGAGTTAAAGTAAAAGTGCTGTCGTTTTCTCATCACACCAAGTGGGAACAAAGTTAACTGAGCCGCTGTTTGGCTTCCCTTTGCTCTTTTGGCGATGTTTAAACTATAAAGCAGAAACCACGAGGAACTAACAGGAAATTTACTAAAAGAGGCAAAGCTGAGATTGTATGCAATGGAGGAAATTTCCTCATTGCATTCAATGAGGAAATGATGACTTGAAGAAAAGCCAGTGAACAGAATTCCTTAAAGGGACTAGACCTATTTCTCCTTTAAAAAAATGTGTTAAAAACTCATAAGACAGTATCTGTTCTGCTTGGGAAATCAAGTATCTGATTGTTAGCTAGTGACCTCTTGTTTCCTCATCTGAAAATCTCGTTTTAATATGTTACAGGGAACAGAAGAATCACAAGTATAGGCATACCACCAAGATAAACAGGAAGATGATCTTGGAGTTCTGGGAAAAACAACTAAAAAATCTGAGCCATTTTCTAACTATAGTGTTGGGACGCACACAAGTAGGTGTCGTCGGGAAACAGCACCTGCTCTTCTCTGTACTGGGGGTTCTGCCAGACACACACACATGAGCTGTGTGCTTCCCCACGTACTCGGGACCAGCTTTGCTGTCTATTAAGGTGCTTTTCCTATAAAAACAAAATGATTAAATAGTCTTTCTATGTATTCAGGGAAATGTGTCACCCAACTTTTTGAGCTTACAGTTTCAAAATTACCCACTAGTCTGGTTAAAAATAGGTCACCTTATCTCAGGAAATATAACAAAACATGACAGCCATTTCTCATTATGGTGAATTTTTTTATGACAAACTTGGGACACTATATTATATGTTAAGGTAATCACATGGTGAAGTTCTTTCCCTAACAAACATTGCCTTAATGTTGAACTGACTTTTAGTGTTTAGTGTAGTTGCAATCAGTAACTTACACAACCCAGTCAGGAGACAGCTAAATAATTTTTTCTGTAACCTTATTTGCTGAAAAAATGTAAATATACACAAAAATAGAGATAGTGGTATTAGCAACCTCAATATGAATTATTTCAACACCAACATTTTTACATTTCTTTTGCCTTTTTAAATTTAATATTTTATTGAGATATAGTTAACATATAGCATTGTATTCGTTTTAGGTACATAACGATTTGATATATGTAAATACTGTAAAGTAAGTTAACATCCATTACTTCATATATTACTACATTTTTTCCTTTGTGTTGAAAACTGTTAAGATTTATTCTCTTAGCAACTTTCAAAGAACAATAAAGTATTGTTAACTTTTGTCACCGTGCTGTAGATCCTCAAGACTTACTTATCTCATGGAAGTTTGTACCTTTTGATCCCCTTTGCCCATTTCACCCCCTTGCAGCCCGTCTCTGATAATCACCGATTTGTTCTCTCCATCTGTGAATTCAGTTCCTTTCTTTCCTTTTAGATTCACGTAGATGTGAGATTATATGCTATTTTTCTTTCTCTGTCTGATTTATTTCACTTGGCCCAATGCCCCCACCTGCCTCCACCTGCTGGCTGCTCGTTAGGCTCAGTCACTGAAAGCTCCTCTGGTGGTACGTGACTTGTGGGAGGTAGCGTGTCCCTCCCTATTCCCAGCTGCTGCACGTGGGTGTGGGGCCAGCCCTTTCTGCAGCTCCACCCTTCTTACTAATTTCTGTGTGGCTTCTTCTGTAAATCCATGGTTATAAGACTTCTGTTCAGCTAGTCTTCCGTTGTTTATTCCGGTTGGTTGTTCTATAACTTAGTTGTAATTCTGGTTTAGGTCCTGGGGGGAGGTGAGTGTAACCGCTACCTACTCTGCCACCATCTTGGATCCAAAGGTGACTTCTTTATATATTTTGGATATTAGTGTCATCATAAATATGGTATACAAATATTGTCTTCCATTCTGTAGGTAGCTTTTAAATTTAACTATTGTTTATTTTGCTGTGCAGCTTTTTAGTGTAATGTACTCCCACTTGTTTATTTTAGTTTTTGTTGCCTGTGCTCTTGGTGACTTCTACAAGAAATCATTGCCTAGACACATGCCAAGGAGCTTTTCCCCTGTTTTCCTCAAAGTTTTATTGTTTCAAACCTTACATTTAAATCTTCAAGTTAATTTTTGTGAGTGGTAAAAGATGGGGGTCCAGTTTCATATTTTTGCATGTGGATATTCAGTTTTCACAGAATGATTTATTTAAGAGACTGCTCTCTCCCCATTGTGTGTTCTTGGGACCCTTGTCAAAAATTAGTTGACCATATATGTGGGTGATTATTTCTGGACACTATTCTGGTCCATTGATCTATATGCCTATTTTTATGCCAGTACCATACTGATTTGATTACTATAGCTTTGTTATATAGCTTGAAATCAGGTATTGTGATGTCTCCAGCTTTGTTCTTCTTATTCAATATTTTCTCTTTCTTTCAATTCTTTCTTTCTTTCTTTCTTCTTTCTTTCTTTCATCTTTTGGCTTTTTTTAAGATTTTATTTATTTTTAGAGAGGGAAGGGAGGGAGAAAGAGAGAGAGAGAGAAACATCAATGTGTGGTTGCTGGGGGTCATG